CGCCCCCCTGGCACTTCAGCTTTCTCTTTCTCTGATGCCCACCCTCTCTGCTCCGGCTGTTTGACATCACCGTCATTTAAACACTGCCAGATCGAATCTTGAGAAGTCTTTATCTTTTGCCCTCAAATTTACTGTCACAAAGTTCTGATCCCAGATTCATTAAATCAAAGACTGCCTCCTAAATCTGTCAGTTTCTCTTCGTTCTGTCTACCTTACAACCTGCATTGTCGTCTAGACTTTTGGCGCTTCCCAGCTGGACCACTGCCCAGTTCTGCCAGTCTTGGAGCACTCTAGCTCAGCATCACACACCAAACACAATCCTTCAAAATGCAAACCTGAAAGTGTCACTTCCCTCCTTGAAGCCCTTCCTGCCCTTGCACCAAACTTAGAAGAAAGGTAAATTCCATATAGTGGTGCCCATGGACAGCACCTGCTCCCCATTCCTCCCAGCCCACCTTTAAGAGCCCTCTGCCCTCTGCATCCAATGGTTGCCCCTGCAGATTTCCGAAGAGCCCATGGTCTTTCTTCTGTGGGCCTTGAACATGCTCGTGCCTCTAATGAGCCCCCATCCCCTCTCCTCCCAGTCCCTTTACCTCCTCATTCTTTTTGGTTTGCGCTACAACGGTCCTTCCTCCAGGAAGCCTTCCTATCCTTCCAGGACTGATTTAGAAGCTCCTACTGCACCATCCCACAGCATCTCTTCCCTCATTTAAAGAACTCACCCTGCCACGACTTGCAAAACTTGTGATAATTCCGTCCAGCCTAAGACTCAAACTCTTAGCAACATTGACAAGTCTTGTCTGAACAGACACCCTTGGAGAGGAATTTTGCATTTAAAAATGAACTATTTCTAAAATACCTAGAATTTCTGTTCATCTTCTTTTCCCTCTAAATACTTTCCATTCTTCTCCCTTTTCTCTCCCTCCCAACACTGCGATATCAAGGCATATTATTTTGCTTTGTTCAAATTATAAAACAGTAGTAAAACTTAATATTTACAAAAGATTAGTCATCTTTGGTTTCACTAAAGAACTTTCATGTTTCAAGTTCAATGATTTTCTTGTTTTGGTTCACAATGCCACAGGCAAGAAACAAGGAGAAGAAAAGAGAGTATCAAAGGAATGTCTCATGACACAACTAAGTTCTGATAGCCAACACTTTCCACTTTTAGGTAAGCTCGCTGATGCCTTCTCTTCTTCAAGGTGCTGCTGGGATCTACAGGAAGGTTAAGCTTATGAATGCTCTTCTAGTCCTGGGTCTTTACAAATTCTAGGATATCTGTAGGGACAGAAATGAAATATTAGTGTCAAAAGATAACAAGATGATTACAGACACATATGCTGCCTTTCTCTGCTAATGAGTAGAAGCTGTCAATCAGTGAAGGGGTATAGAATGTGCTGGAGAGAAATTACAAAGTGAGCAGAAAATAACTGTCCCTTGTTTCAGAGAGTTTATACTTAGGAGGGTTTATGATTAGAAGAGTTTGTACTATCATTATCAATCCTATATAACTCTCAAAAATTTATTATTAAGATAAATAATATGCAGTCAAATTAAGTCACCCAAATCATAAAAGTGTAAATGACCCAAATATAAGAACATAGAGTCATTTAATTATGGATTTGCCCAAGTTTATAAGAGGTGTGGTGTCTCAGGAAAGCCTGAGCTCATCAGAGACACATGGTGTCAGCCAGTAGGTATGCCAAAGAAGGAGTGAGCCATGTGAGGCATTGGAGATGAGAGGACGCTGAGCAGAGCCAAGGCACAAGTGAGATTCTTGAAGTCCAAGGCAGCAGGTTATGATGGAAAGAGCACATATGATCTTAAGCAATTGGCAACTTCTCTGACCCTAATTATAATTATGAAATGAAAGTAATATTAATAATCATAACAGTTTCCATCTTAAAGGATTGTAGGGAGAATTGAGATATCACAGTGAGTGGCACTGTGAAAACATTTTGTAAATGATAAAGCAGCGATGGTGGTGAAGAAGATGACAACACTGCTCTTCCTTTTCATTGAAAAATGGGTGGAAAAAAGCTTCTTTCTGCTCCTGCAGAGACAGTTCTGACAATGCTCTTCTGTCCACTTTAGAGATCTTGCCCTTATAGATGCTTTGGCATATGACTGGCAGAAAACAGCATGCTTTCAAGGAGGCGCTGGTGGAGGTGGGACCAAAAGGCTAGCAAGGGCCCCTGTTATCTGGCCAGAGTCTCCATCTGCACTACACTCTCTGGCTGATTTTTGTCCTTTCTTGGGACCTTAAGGGAAATCTACTCATTTAAAATGAAGAAGGGATACCCACTGTATGCCATACCCTGCCCTTTAAGAGCTTATACTCTAGCAAACCATGTGCACACCACACACAATGCACCACATATGCACATGTGTACACACACACATGCAAACAGAAGGTAGCAGGAAATTTGAGCATAGCTCTCATAAAAGGAGGCGTGGTGTGTTTTGTGAGTCCACATTTCCTGGGAGCTCTCCCAGGGAACATAAAAGTGGTCAGCTGCTTGAACAATTCAAAGATGGAGAGAGTGTGATACTTAGAGGGGACAGGTTGAACAACATGAAATAGTAGATTGGGTTTTCCTTTTTTTTTAATTAAATTAAATTAAATTAAATTTATTTTCAGTGACCCATAATTCATTGTTTATGCACCACACCCACTGCTCCATGCAATATGTGCCCTCCATAATACCCACAATTAGTCCATATTATGTTGAGCTCAGTCTTTGGCAGAGAATGGCAAGACTAGATGGAATAGAGGATAAGGAAAACTGTGGAAGGTCAGGAGGGTCATGCTGAAGTTTAGACTCCCTCCTTAGTTGGTAAAGAGCCATCGGTGCTTTATAAGATATGTTCCGATATGTGTTTCAGGAAGGTAACTGGTGTCTACAGATGAAAACATAGAAATCTGGGATGCCTGGGTGGTTTAGTGGGTTAAGCCTCATGATCCTAGGGTCCTGGGATAGAGTCCCACATCAGGCTCTCTGCTCAGCGGGGGGCCTGCTTCCCCTCCCCCTCTGCCTGCTTCTCTCCCTACTTGTGATCTCTCTCTCTCTCTCTCTCTCTAATAAATAAATAAAATATTTAAAAAAAAAACATAGAAATCTTCATGACTTTGGGCTTAAGAGTGAAAGGGAAATGCATGTCACAAGAGGCAGAGAGAACAGGCAGGAAACAAACAACAGATGTGAACAGTCTAAACTCAAGCAGTGCTGATGGGAAGAAAGAAAAGGAGATAAATTCAAGAGACATTTTCATGGTAACACCGGTGAACAGTCCCAGTGTGAAAAAGAAGAAATATACAAGCATAATCTTGATGGTTTGAGCTTAGTTTTAGACAATATTTGTCCTTTACTAGAAGCAGGCCCCCAAGAAGATCATGTGGAGGATGGTGATGTGTTTTAGCTGAGACATGTTTAATTTTACTCCAGGACGTTCAGTGGACTTCTCAGGAGGCGGTTGTGAATTTAGATGAAGTTAACCGTATAGCTAGGAGTCATCAGCTATTATGGAAGCCATGTATTCAGATGGGATCACATAGAGAATTTTGAGAAAGAGGAGAAAAGCTTTGGAAATACCTATGTTTAAATAATATTGAAAAAAACATGTCCCTAAAAGATAAAAAGTCATCTTTGTATGAAAAGAAATCGGTTACAAGATCAATGATTTGATCTTATACCAAAGTGGTCCCTGAGGTCTCTTGGGACTTCCAACTATATTTATCCTGAAGACACGCTGAGTGCCCACTATATGTTAAGTACTGTTCTATGGATATTGGGATGCAAAACGAATCAGTCATGACTTCTGCCCCAAGAAGCATGAAGCTCAATGCCAAGACAGAGGTTCAACAGCTGTTACTTCTGCTGTCACTGAGCTGAGGTGTAATGACAACGTTCACAGGAAACATCATGCTTCCACAACTGCCACAGTTTCAGAAGCTGTTCAGCTTATGGAAGTAACACCAAATGAAGCCTAGATCATGACTGGACAAGGTAGCCCTTCTCTGCATGAACTGGGGCCCTTAACCATGAAGTAGACATATGGATGGGCAGGACCAACCAACTGAAGTTGTAGCAAAAGATCCCACCAGTTTTTCCATACTATTTCCTCACAGACCTGACCCTCACTCTCCCCGGATGCTTGCTTCAAACCTCAGCAGTTATGAGTCCTACCATGGCTGTCCAGGAATCCCTACCAACAGACAAGAATGCCCATGCTTCTGAACAGCATGGCTGCCATCAGAATGCACACTCCTTTACCCTCTTCCTATATCTTTACTGCCTAAGGACAGAGTCTAGAAGTATGTCATTTTTGAATGGCAATAAGTGGGAATGGGGTTAATCAGAAAAAATCAGCTTCTTAAAAAAACATAGATAGATAGATAGATAGATAGATAGAGACATACCACTGCATACTGGTTAATATGACTCCCCCCAAAAATAGTCTCTAAAAGACATAATAGTTATTTCAGGCATGACAGGTTAGCATTTAAAATTATTTTGATTGGAAGCCTTTTTACATCTCTTAAATCATGTCACATTAATACATTTGTGCCATATTCATGGATTCTACATTTGCTGAAAATCGAATAGCTGCGAGGTCTAGTATTATGCACCACAGTGCCATGCTATAGACTATTCCAGATTTATTTCGTTCCTATTCAGGTGAAAGTCTTTTGTGATAAAAAACAATTCAATAACCTGCTTATAAAATCCTAAGTGAGTTCAGCTTGGTCTATTGATTCTCAATTTATTTTTGATCTGTTTTGTGAACTTAAATCTTAGTACTTAAAATTGTTTAAAATGACCTTATCAGACTATGCGTCTGTAAAAGTAACTTGCGTGTGTAATAAATTAGCAACATTGAACCAAATCAGATTTATATTTAAAAAGCATTCTTTCTATTCATTGCTAATTTGCTTGGCCTAGCAAAGGAAGTACTAGTAGTCCACAACTGGTCAGAGGAGAACAATCACACTGTACAGCCATGTTGTATTTATTTATTCTGACAAACAGAGAATAAACTATACACCACGTGAACTATATACTGTAAATAACAAATGGCAAAGTTCAAAGATACATAATGTTGGAAAAACTATGTACATGTTAAGTCTTTATCAAGGAAAAAAAGTCTCTATCAAGGGAAGCCCAAAAGATAGGAACTTGAAATTATTAATGAAATATCTCAGTTGTCCCCCAATCCCAAATCTGTATTTTTTTGGCATCTAAATTCAACACTGATTTCAAATCAGATATGTGGAAGGAAACTCTCCAGTGTCTTCTTAGGTCAGCAGGGAAAGGTTATCCTTCACACTGACATTCAGTAGCTGGGCTGTCTTCCAAGCCCATTTTGCAATGAAACTGGAATAACTGGGATAACTATAGAGTTTCAGGCAAATCCCTAGGCTGTTTCCACATTGTCATTACCAGAAGTTCCCCGACATGATGCCCAGCTCCAGGTTGCAAGGGGATATGGGGATGGGAGTGGGGAGGCGGGGAGGAATGATGGGAATGAGTTGGGGCAGAAGGAGAATGAACTTAGAAATACATGAGGCACACAGTGGTAGATAGGCTAAAGCAGAGTCAGGATAATCAACCAAGTGTCTGCAAAGGGTCAAGTCTCCAAAATCATCTGCCGATCGATATTAAAAGGAAATAAACACAAAGGAAACACCACATGTTTCAATTACACCTAAATCTATCCTCTTGTGGTGGCTCCTTAATGTGGTAGGGACTACTATAATAGAAACCAACTGGATTTTCAAGGGCAAGACACTTTGCCACTAAACAAGATGATGTCATCCTTCCTGATGACGAAGAGGAACGGGCGATCAGCTCTGAACACCCTGGACTCGGGCAGCTGCTTTTCTACGATGTTATTTCCTGTGGCAGCAGTGGCCTCCGTGCCCTCCTCAGTGACCTCGATGTAGGACTTATGCATCATTTTGGACACATACAGACGGCCTCCTGAAGCTATACCAGAGAGATCAGCTCTGGATTCATCAAAGATGTCTTTCAGCCCTAGGGCTCTTAAGTGGTGTTTGATTTCATAGTTCTTCTCTATCTTGAACTGAGGAAGAAACACCTCAACATACTGAGAGCTCATTTTTCTTGGATTGGTCCACTCCATTAGATTCTGAAAGGTCAGTCTGTTTTCAATCTGTAGGAATATTGAAAAGGCAATTCAATATGCTTAAGGGACAGATAAAACACCAACTACAAAGATAGATGGTTTTCCATAATTATTCTCTTCTGGATATTTGAGTGAAAGTATGTCAATGGGTCCAGAGGATTCTGAAAATGGGAAATTATTAGCACAAATAGTTCAAGCACTCTTTAACAAATCATGTTTAATTTTCTCTGCTATGACAAGGTGTGACTTACTTGTATTTCAAGGCATTTCTTTTCTCTGCCCACATATGAACAAATACAGCCAAAGTGGAACAACGGGCAGGTGAAGGAATTAGGGTAGCAGAGATCATCAGAGGGTGAAAGGAGCTCAGTGGTCATTTAAGTCAGCATTTCTTGACCATTTCCCATCATGAACGACATAGAAAATGGTAATGTTTGCATAGCTTGCCAGAATAACCAATGGAACGGCAGGTGGCCCAAAGCAAGGAGCCCAGAGCTCTAGCTTCCAGTGTTTAGGTGATCAGTACCTACTAGCACAGTCGCCTACACCTCTGGGGGGCTTGGATCCAAATACATCCTCCTACTCAACACATGGGACAAGTGAAGTTCAAGACATTGTAGGAAATATGCCAAATTGCATAGCTGGGCACGTCAGTTACATAGCTAGGAGCCCACGGCCCTCTCTCTAGCACCACTGCTGCCCTCAATGATTCCCAAATGGAATGCACCAACTCTTGAATACTGATAATTGATCAGGGACTAGTCCAGATGTACACAGGGAAGATTTTTCATGCACATTGCTTATAAATCTTATATGTAGATATTTATTCTCAAATTCAGTCTTACTGGAATTTTAAAGAGCTTTTCACAGTTATCCTTATCAAGGACCTAAATTTGTTTAATCAAATTTTGTCTGATTAAAATTTTATGTGTGTAAATTATCCAGTTTATGGTTAATCTATAATAACTTCTCACTCTGAATTAGAATTGCTTCCTCATTTAGCTCACTATAAAGCCAACTTCCCCATTATTTCATTACATAGGATTATATAGGTCTATAGGATAATGTAGGAATGTAGATTTATACTCATCTGATCTAAACATTATTAGGAAGATCTATTACAGAAAAGAAAAACTTAGACAATAAGTATAAGAACAAATGTATCTTTCATGTTATCTGCCATTTGTTTTACATGGGCTAATTTTTCTGTTATGGTAGATTATTTGAAGTTAAAATAACTGATGTACGCTAAAATCTAATTGTGACAATGATTGTCAAGTGAATTATTGGTTTAATATGAGTATCAATAATTTATATTGTCACTTTAGGTTTAACAATAGCAACTTCATGACATTCCTCTTGCTGTTCATCAAAAAAGGTAATTAAAATGAAACTAAATGAAAATCATTACAATGATTCAGTGGTTTTGTCCATTTAGAAATGGTATTTCTAAAGTTCTAAAATCATGTTTCTAAATCATAGAAAAAGGATGGATAGAAGTTATGCCTCTAGGTAGGAGGAGAACTTCTTTATATTCTTTGTAGTTTCCCAGTTATTTTACAAGCAAGAGTCAACATTTTACTAATCAAAACACAAAAAAATATTTTAAACTTTAGGTGTAACATTTTAGGGTAGCTGATAGGTGTGTACACACACACATATTTGTACATATGTATGTATCTATCAGATAAATTGATCAAATTCCATGACTCTCCTTTTCCTGCCCCACATGACTGCTGTATGGATCAAATGAGATAACATAAATGCAGCTCAGAGTACATGGCCTGGCACATAGTAGATGCTCAATGAATGGTGTCTATTATTACTTTTGATTGGAAATACAGAGAGGGATGTTGACACCCAGGCTTCTGGGATTTCAGGTCACAGGCTCAGGAGGCTATTACTGATAGGCCTGAAAAAAGATCAGGATCTGAGATATGGTGATTCTTCCTGGCTTTGCAGGACTAGCACTCTTTGCCTCTTGTGCCATGCTGGTCTATTGTCCTAGTCACACCAGTCACAGGGCAGTCCTTAACTTCTGCTTTTCCCAGAGCCACAGCAGCTCAGAAGAGACCATACATTTCAACGCACAAAGGCCCAGGACTCCAGACCCCACAGTATCATTCCTGCCTGAAAATTGTCTGTTCAAATTCCAATAATACATGAAACACTATTTTCATGGCCAAGTGCAAAGACCTAAACTCATGCCATTTTCTCTCCAAAGCTGAGATTTGAGAGGGTTCCAATTTCATAGCTGTTCAACTAAAACTATGTTAAATGGAAATAAGTCAATCTCAGTAACAACAGCACCTGGCACAGAGTAGGTACTCCTTAAATATTTGTCAAATGAATAGGGGTAAATCTCTAATTCTTACAACCCAAAATTGTAAAGTTGATGCATAAAAACACAATCAATAATATCCTACAAATCTTCTAATTCCCCAATAGTGAAAGTGGCAGTAGCAACTTACTTGGGACAGGTCATTTTCAGGCAGCACAATGAACATGCTTACGCCACCATGATACTTGAGCTCAAGAACCTGTAGGGGTGGGTCTCTAATGACAGAAAAATTGAACTTCCGTTCTTGATGCATCATGGCAACTGCTTTCCGAGGACACTGAAAGTCAAGTCACAAAACAATTTTTATTAATCTACCTTATTTCACTTATAAGAATAGTGTTTCAGTTTTCATTTGGTTGATCCTGTAGATTTTTCCTGAATTTTGCCAATAGTGGTTGCAGTGGTTCACGGCTTAGGGGTACAAGCGCAGACTTTGAGATTAACTGCCTGAATTTAAAACTTCCAGCATGCAATTTTGGGTGAGTTACGTCACCTTTCTGTGCCTCCCTTTCTTCATCAATATAATGGAGGTAAAACAGTCTCTACTGTTCAGGACTGTTGTAAAGATCATGTGAGTTAATGTACTTAGAACTTGGTTCATTTCTTTGCACTTAGCATTTTATCTGAAAATGTCTATATAGTAAGCAACAAATAATTATTAAATAGCATTATAATCAAAAATGGATGCTATAGATTTTTTATTTTTATAAGACCTCATTCTTTCTTTCTTTTTTTTTAAGATTTTTATTTATTTATTTGACAGAGAGAGAACACAATCAGGGAGAGTGGGAGAGGGAAAAACAGGCTTCCTGTTGAGCAGAGAGCCGGATGCGTGGCTCAATCCCAGGACCCTGGGATCATGCACCAAAGGCAGAAGCTTAACAACTGAGCCACCGAGGTGCCCCTAAGACCTCATTCTTAAATTGTGTGGTTTTGATAGTATGGGTCTGTAATTGACTTCTGATGAAAGAAAAAAAAATCTATACTATTCATAGTGATACTTATCACTCATTCAGCGATCTTTGATTTCTACCAGCTCTCACCACTCCTGTATCTAAAAGTTCTGATGTGGAAGACTGCAGAAAGAACATTTCAATAAATAAAACTAAATTTAAAAGTTTCTGAGTTTCTCTGTTTCAACACAAAAGGTTGAGTGACTGAAAGAAACTTTAGAGGTCAGTTAGTGGAATCGCCTCATTTGTGAGGATGGGAAGGTCTGCAGTGGTTAAGTGAACTTGCCTAAGACAAAGCAGATTGGCACTGGAGAAGGCAAGGACCCCAACACAGTATTTCTGACTCCAAAGCCCCTGATGTTTCTACTATCCCATAAGATTATTGTGTACAAATTGGTAACACACACACACACACACACACACACACACACACACAAAAGAATATATGTCTTACAAAAGTTGGTTAAGACTAACACTTGGGGGACACCCGGGTGGCTCAGTTGTTAAGAGTCTGCCTTCGGCTCAGGTCATGACTGCAAGGTCCTGGGATCAAACCCCTCATCGGCTCCCTACTGGGCAGGAAGTTTGCTTCTCCCTCTCCCACTCCCCCTGCTCGTGTTCCCTCTCTCGCTGTGTCTCTCTCTGTTAAATAAATAAATAAAATCTTTTTAAATTTTTTAAAAAAAGACTGATACTTGAGAATGCATAACTTTACTAAACATAACTTTTTCCTTTGTAAAATGAAACACATCCTGGCTTTGACTCAGGAAAAACCACTGATGTTAAATGACTAGAATTATCTACCCCATAGTTAGAATCACAAAAAATGAAAAGCACACTTTTGTAATATTTTCTTCTTATAGGCATCCAACTAGATTATCTTAAAATGAATTCACATGTTATTACCTTTCTCAAATTTGAACATATTTTAAGAAATATCAATTTATGGGGCACCTCCAATAGTGTACCATAACCTGCATTATCAGGAAAATAGGTTGTTTTATAAGCAAGTCACCATATAGTATTGGGTAACCTATAGAAGAAATAAGTAAAGAAATGATGAATCCATCATTTGTCTATGCAAATACCATAATTTCTGCAAAGGAATATTATGACCAAAAAACCTTTTTTTAAGATCTTATATTTATTTGGGAGAGAAAGCACAGAGGAGAGTAAGAGGGAGAAGCAAACTTCTCACTGAGCAGAGAGCCTGATGTGGGGCTTGATCTCAGGACCCTGACCCTGAGATCATGACCTAAGCCAAAGGCAGATGCTTAACCAACTGAGACACCCAGGTCTCCTGGCAAAAAAAAAAAAAAAAATCTAAAAAGTATTCCCATACCTTGGGAGATTTGAACAGGCAATTTACAGTTTCATTTTTGGTGAAGGCCAGCTCCCACTTGCCTTTGAAGTACACAGCATTCACCAGCACCATTACAGCCGAAGAACTTATGCTACCTGCTCGAAAGATGTTCTTAATTTTGCCTTTTGAAATATAAATGGAGAAAATATGTTAAGTTTTAATGTATTTTTAAATTTTTTTTTAGATTTATTTATTTGGGAGAGAAGAAGAGAGAGCAGGGGAAGGGACAGAGGCAGAGGGAGAGATAATCTCAAGCAGACTCCCCACTGAGGATGCCCCCTCCACCCCCGCCGTGGTAGGGCTTGATCTCACCACCCCGAGATCACAGTCTGAGCCGAAATCAAGAAGTGAATGCTTAACCAACTGAGCCACCCAAGTGTCCCATTAAAATAATTTTTTAAAAAAGACATGTGAACATGATATTTTCCTTACAACATAATTATAATAACAATGATATTGTAATAACCTATGAGCAATTCCTCCATCCAGTACTCTCTGAACACTTTATGCACACTGTTTGATTTAATCCTCACAAAATCTCTGTGAGGTGGACACTTTTCTGTTGAGGAAGCTGAAACACAGAGAGATGAAGTAATTCATACAAAATCACATAACAAGAAAGTTAGGGCACCAGGATTCTGACCCAGAAAGACAATTCCCAAAGCCCCTCCTTGCTGTTAAGCACCAAACTACCTTTACTGCCTAGGCAAGGCCACAGCACTTCAGATATGATTTAACTCCATTCTGTTGGACTAATTTCTTCCTTCCTTCTGCATGAACAAGATTTTTCTGGATGTCAACCCTATTCTCGATACTTGAATCACCAACCATGAAAGGCACAGTCCTTGCCATCATTGGGCTCATGGTGCGCTGCAGGGGAGCAGCTGTACACATGGGTACCACAGCCACATGCTGAGTGTGCTGTGGGGGCACAGATGAGGGGCCCCCATCTCAGGCTTGGCCCTCTGCTTGAGCTGATGGCAAGGTGGGAGGGGGAGAGAATCTGCATACAGCAGAGGCTGTTTACCCAAACACATGGAAACACGGAAGAGCACAGTGTATTTGTAGAAACCCTAAGTCATTCCAATGCGTAGGGAAAGTAGGGTTGGAAAGGTTAGAGGCAGGGGCCAATAATGAAGAGCCTTGAATATCTGGTAATAATTTTGGGTTATCCTGAAGGCAATGAAAGATAGTTGTTCAGGATTCATTGGAAGATAAGAAAGGACATGGTCATGATGGGTCACATTTACCTTTGAAGAGGACTGTTTTGGTAGTGTGTGGAGGGTGGAGTTGGGGTGATAGGACTTGGGCGGGTTTGTTGGAATGTTGACAGCATTGAAGTGTGCCCTCCAAATGAGTTTTGAGAACTAATGCTTATCAAAATAAGAATAATTTTTGAAATATATTTGCATGAAAAAAGAAGGAAGAGAAATGAATAATTGGTCCAGATGGAAAAAGATACTAGCAATCTGATACCCTTAAAAACTACACACTAAATAGAATTCCATTCAGTTATTAGGAAAAGCAATTACACAGTTCCTCTTCATTTGTGAATAGTATATTTGGAACATGTGGTGGCTAATGGTCCAAGTAACCCTCTACTGAGGTAATGATGAATGAATAAACAAAAGAAAACTGGGACACTCTATTCTTGTTCCCAGGACGAGTTGTAGTATGTCAAATGTTTCTAAGTCACATGTTTCATACTTTTTTTTTTTTTTAAAGATTTTATTTATTTATTTGACAGAGAGAAATCACAAGCAGGCAGAGAGGCAGGCAGAGAGAAAGGAGGAAGCAGGCTCCCTGCTGAGCAGAAAGCCCGATGCGGGGCTTGAACCCAGGACCTGGGATCATGACCTGAGCCGAAGGCAGCGGCTCAACCCACTGAGCCACCCAGGCGCCCTGATGTTTCATACTTTTGAGACAGAACCACACTCAGCAAATACTTGTATAATGTTCAGAGTATAAATCCAAGTCAAGCCTTAAGTAAAGAAATGACTAGGTTTGGGATCAATTGATTAACAAAATAGCAATGAATACATTTCCTTATTTGTTTTGAACTCAACAAGAACATCTGCTGGAACTCAGTTTTTAGCTGTATGAAAACACTTACCAATAAAGCAATGTACTTTTTCTGGAAGGTACCACTTTTGTCACATACATTATTTTGTTACATGAAGAGGGTTTTAAATGAAAGATAAACAATGCATCTTTTAGAGGAAGCAATGATATAAAATATATTTCCCAAATAGTAATTTATGAATGGTCATAATGAAATCAATATTTGTTTCATAGGCTTGTTTCTCAATCCAATGAGATAATGTAATAGGTAAGATTTCTGAAAAGTATAAAGCATTCAAATTATTAAGATTATTCAGAACCACATTGTGGACAAATATTAAAGCAATTCTCTTTCTTCTTTTATTTAATAATTTATTTGATGTAACCAATATAACCTAAATATTACCATTCCACCAAATAGTAAATATAAAAAACTATTAAGGATGTTTACATTCTTTACTTCCTACTTGACCTATGCAATTAAATGGTCATAAAAATTGCAAAGTATTCTCTAAAAATATGGGAGATAGAATGTGAAGGAAAAAAATATAAACACAGATGTGAACGTAGACTCCGAACATAACTAGGTCAACTTATTTTTTGTGCATAAAGCCAAGGACTAGAATAGAAAATGGGAAAAGGAAGCATTGATTTTTTGAGGTGCTAGGATTGTGTTAAAAAACATATACCATCAAATTTACCATCTTAACAGATCAGTTGTATTAACCATATATGCCTTGTGGTATATCACATTTTCAGAACTTACTTCACTTTACAAAACTGAAACTCTAAATACATCAAACAACTCCCCTTCACACAACAATCCCCAAAGCCTGGTAACCACTATTCTTGGTTTTTTTTTTAATTGAAGTATAATTAACATACAGTGTTATATTAAGTTTCAGGTATACAATATAATAATCCAATAATTCTACATATTACTCAATGCTTATCAAGTTAATTGTACTCACCTATTTCTCCCATCCCCCAACCCACACCTCGCCTAACCATCTCTTTGTTCTCTGTATTTAAAAGTCGGTTTTTTGTTTGTCTCTTTTTTTCTTTGTTTTGTTTCTTAAATTCCACACGTAAATGAAATGATATTTGCCTTTCTCTGTCTGACTTATTTCACTTAGCATTATACCCTTTAGGTCTGTCCACATTGTTGCAAATGGTAATATCTCATCCTTTTTATGGCTGAGTAATATTCCTATCTATCTATGAGATATATATCACAACTTATTCATCCATTAATCTACTGATGGACATGTGGGATGCTTCCACATCTTGGCTACTGTAAATAACAGTGCAATAACCACAGGCATACATGTATTTTTTCAAATCAGTGTTTTTCATTTCCTTTGGATAAATACCTAGTAGTGGAATTACTAGATGATACTGATAGCTCTGTTTTTAACTTTTGAGGTACCTCCATTATGTTTTCCATAGTGGTTGCACCAATTTGTCTTACCACCAAGAGTGCATGAGTAATATTCAATAGCATCAATCATTACTTTGGATTAGGAGGAACTGTTCCTTGCATGTTTTACAAAAGATTCAGCTCTAAAGTTGGCCATTCTCAGTATTCACATATCACTGGAAAATCTTGTAAAAAAAAAAAAATAAGGTTGCACTCACCATGTGTTTCATTTTCAATCCATTTATTGATTTTATATCTGGTATCTTCTACATCATTTGTGAAGTCAACTCGTTCCACTTTGGCATTGTATAATTTTTCAGCACACTCAATATAGTTCTATAAATATAAATAATTACAGTTCTGTAAGTGATACATAGTTCTTATAGTCACAAGTCACCATTAACTAAGCATATAAAAACTCTGTTTTTCAACTTGTCTCTTCATTTCCACCATTTTACTCAAAGACTCATTCCCCACTCAAAGATGAGGAAATATGGATAGAAATATGAAAATATGGCCGGATAGGGTGCTGGAGAACCTGAAATTGAATTTGCACAGCAAGCACACTATTTGAACCTAAGTTTATCTGAAGTGGATTAGGGGAGGCTAACAGGGATTATGGCTAAAGCCCACTTCCTTGGCTTTAGCACTGTTTTCTCACCATAAGTACTTCAACAGTGTCCTTGCTCATCTCCCTTGCTTGTGTCACCTGCTTCCTACTGAAAGCATTAAGAAGGTTTCCAGGCAACTTCTTATACTTAAGATAAAGCTCAAGCCCCTGGACCTGGCCTGCATTTGAAAGAAAAAAAAAAAGAAGTCAAGTTGAAGAGGATGAGCAGAAAAGGCAAGGCCCCAAGCAGTAGTACACTCAGAGGAGTAAGAGTATCTTTGCACACTCAGGAGACCCACAGGAATTTGTGATGACTGAAGCATGTGGTGAAAGGGGAAAATGGAGGACAGGAGCCAGGACAGAGGAAGAGCATGACTGTCTTGTTTCCCTGGAAAAGGAGCTTTCATTTTATTTTAGGGAGAGTTATTAAAAGGATTTAAACAGGAGAGTAATATAATTAAATATGCATTTCATAAAGGTGACTCTGAAATCAGCATAGGAAAAAAAATGAATGGAAATAGAGGGACTTACTAAAATGTCCTTATAATTTATCTTTAGGACTATAAAGAGGTCTTGAACTGAAGCACTGGCAGTTTCCAGGGCCATAGGGAGGACAAAACAAATTTTAGAGATACACTAAGAAGGTAGAACTAACTCTTTCTTGTCCCCTACCCTTCCCTTTCCTTGTTGAACAGCTGAGACTCAAAGCCATTAGGAGGGGCAAATCTAGGTAGGTACACATCTCAGGGTGGGGAGGACCAGTGTGGCAGAGCTGGATGGATGGCAGAGCTCCATCATGGTGAGGAGAAATTCAACACAAAGTATTAGCAGCCAAAGGAGACAAAGAACACATTGCCTTGTCAGGAATGCCCAGCTCTGGAATTCAAGCTTAGGCAGAATCCAGAGGCATTCCTGAGGAGGGGTGGCCTCATGCAGGTGTTAGATCCTAAATAGTGTGAAGTGGACAATCTTGTGGGGTGTCAAAGCCCAAAAAAAGTGACAGGAACACAGGAACATCTCTGTGGTGGGCAACCACCATGGGATGCAGGGGACTAAGACGAGGGAAGACGTATACTCCTAGTGTGTGTGTGTGTGTGTGTGTGTGTGTGTGTGTGTGTGTGTGTGTGTGTGTATGCAGCCTAGCATGGAGGGGCAGATTTCTCATGGAATGAAGAAGGTGTTTTCACATTGGGAGGAGCACCAGCATCCATCAGTGATGGGAAATGGGTTACATAGAGGGAGATTGATCAAGCAAGTAAATATGTAAGAATAATAGAGCCAGATTTCTCAATGATGGAGAAGGGAGTTAAACAAACACAGAAAAATAGAAAAAAAAATGAACCCTGTGGTGTTTGATGGAAATTGGAGATATCAGTAGGAACTCATGGGTTTCGCTATATTTGGGTAAAAAGATGAACATTGATTTAATATGTGCATGTATTTTCCTAAAAAGGAACTAGGGCTCCTGGAGAAATGGCTGATTCTAGGGCTGAGGCAGGGAAAGAAGATGAGATTGGAAATTCTCATGGTGCCAGAAAGAAAGTGCTCAAATGAGGTGGGCATGTCAAACAAATATAGATGTCAATAGAAGGGATAATTTGAGCATGAAAATAATATGATGGATTAACCCTTTGGCTAAAACAAGACACCATGGGTCCATATTATTATAAATAAACAAATAAATACCTTTTATCAAGAATGAGAGATTTACACAGCCTGAAAGCCATTCCTCACAAGATACTTAACAACAAAGAGAAAAAGAGTAACTTCACAGCAGAGAAACCCAGCATACATCCCTGTAATCATGTGACCAAAGATGGCAGGACAAGCAACAGGATAAATCAGAATCCTGCCAGTGTGCCACAGGGATAACACAACAAAAATAAACAGGCTTCGTTGGACGTTTCCATCAAATCTGGTGCAAATGTTAGCTAATACTATGGTGATAATTCTTGCATAATATGTAAGTGAATCAAATCAACATGTTCTATACCTTAAACTTATACTATATTATATATCAATCATAATTCAGAAATGCTAGGAGAAAATAGGACTCTAATCATGAAGACATATCCAAAAAACCCACACTGAAAGGCATTCTAAAATATAACTGGCCTAAAACTGGACACTAAATAATCATCAAAAGTGTCAAGATCATGAAAGTCAAGACAGGCTATGAACTGTTCCAAACCGAAGGAGACTAAAAGTGAGTCAACAACAGAATATAATGATTGATTCTGAGCTAAGTCCTTTGCTATGAGGGATGATGTTGGGCTGATTGGTGACACCCAAAAGGATCTGAAGATGGGCTGAATGTACACTGTTAGCTTCCTGATCTTGATGGTTGTATGGTGACTATGTAGAAGAATGCCATTGTAGGAATTACATGAAAGTATTCAAACATGATAAAGCATCTTAAATGCTTCAGGAGGAAAGTGTTCTTTCTATAATACTTGGAACTTCTATGTGAGTTTTAAATTATGTCAAATAACTTTTCTTTGAAAGTAGAAGGAAAATCAATTAACGCTTCTTCACTGATGGACAGTGAAGCTCCAGGGAAAGGAAATGTCAAAGTTGATCAAAATACCTGGTAGGTCATTCACTGAAAGAGAACCCAGAGGAAAGAGAATATGTGGGGATAAGAGAGATGCTGTGTTGAAGAACCTGTAAATGCCCACTTGAAGACTGGCAGTAGGCAGGCAGAAAGATGAGCATGACATTGAGAGTGAGGAATGAATGAGCTGTGGAGGTACGGAGGACAACATCAAGTTAAACTTTCAAAGTCAATCATCTCTTCTTAGGTGAGACAGTAGACTCAAAATGGAAGAGGCCAGAGGGCAGAACCCTGAAGAGCAACAGTATTTCAGAGATGAATAAAGGAATAAAGATAAACAAAGGAAAGTGAAATGAAGAGAAGGTAGAAAACCAGGAGAAATCAATGCCATAGAAACCATGAGAGGAGAAAGTTTCAGGGATCTCCAATAGCATTGAATACTAAAGAGGCAGGTAAGACCCAGACTGCAAAGTGCCCATAGCTTGGTGTCCACTGGAAGCCATTAGTCACCTTGGTAAGAGCAGCTTCAGGAGAATGTGGAAGGTAGAAGCTAGTTTGCAATAGATGGAGCAGTGAGAGAGGGTGAAAAAAATGGATTCTGCCTGTACATATCATCCTTCAGATAATATTTTTCAAGTTTAGACTGTCAGAGTGAGAAACACAGAAATGGAAAGAGAATCATGGGGTAACTTTAAAAAACAAGGAGAGAAAAATTGAGATGATGAGTATCTGGAGCACATTTATACGTGATGAAGAAGAAGAAAACAGAGTGACAGAAGTTCAGGAAAAATACAGAAACAGCACCAAGAAACTGGGGGCAAGGGAGAGGGTGAGGTGGCAAGGAGAAATGGAGGACTTATCCATTAAGCAAAGTGTTCCCCCTGATATTGAAGGGAAAAGGGAAAGGGAGCAGGGTGTTATTTGGGGTATGGATCTGCCCTGATTGCCTATTTTCTTTGTCAAGTAGAAGACAAGTGGAGATGGAAATTTATTGCTTAAATAGGAAAATTACATTGTTAAAATGTCTACACCGCCTAGAGCAATCTATACTTTCAATGCCATCCTGATCAAAATTCCACTGGCATTTTTCAAAGAGCTGGAGCAAACAATCCTAAAATTTGTATGGAACCAGAAGAGACCCCGAATTGCTAAGGAAATGTTGAAAAAGAAAAACAATACTGGAGGCATCACATTGCCTGATTTCAAGCTTTACTACAAAGCTGTGATCACCAACACAGCATGGTACTGGCACAAGATCAGTGAAACAGAGTAGAGAGCCCAGATATGGACCCTCAGCTTTATGGTCAAATAATCTTCAACACAGTAGGAAAAAATATACAGTGGAAAAAGGATAATCTCTTCAATAAATTGTGCTGGGAAAATTGGACAGCTATGTGTAGAAGAATGAAACTTGACCATTCTCTTAAACCATACACAAAGATAAACTCAAAATGGATAAAAGACCTCAACATGAGGCAGGAATCCATCAGAATCCTAGAGGAGAACATAGGCAGTAACCTCTTTGACTTTGGCTACAGCAACTTCTTTCAAGATATGTCTCCAAAGGCAAAGGAAACAAAAGCGAAAATGAACTTTTGGGACTTCATCAAGATCAAAAGCTTCTGCATAGCAAAGGAAACAGTCAACAAAACAAAGAGGCAACCCACGGAATGGGAGAAGATATTCACAAATGACACTACAGACAAAGGGCTGCTATCCAAGATTTACAAAGAACTCCTCAAACTCAACACACAAAAAACAGATAATCACATCAAAAAATGGGCAGAAGACATGAACAGACACTTCTCCAAAGAAGATATACAAATGGCTAACAGACACCTGAAAAAATGTTCAACATCATTAGCCATCAGGGAGATTCAAATCAAAACTACACTGAGATATCCCCTTATACCAGTTAGAATGGTCAAAATAAACAAGAAAGTAAACAACATGTGTTGGAGAGGATGTGGAGAAAGGGGAACCCTCTTACACTGTTGGTGGGAATGCAAGTAAGTTGGTGCAGCCACTTTGGAAAACAGTGTGGAGATTCCTTAAGAAATTAAAAATAGAGCTTCCCTATGATCCTGCAATTGCACTACTGGGTATTTACCCCAAAGATACAGATGTAGTGAAAAGAAGGGCCATATGTACTCCAATGTTCATAGCAGCAATGGCCACAGTTGCCAAACTGTGGAAGGAACCAAGATGCCCTTCAACGGAAGAATGAATAAAAAAGATATGGTCCATATATACAATGGAGTATTATGCCTCCATCAGAAAGGATGAATACCAAACTTTTGTAGCAACATGGACGGGACTGGAAGAGATTATGCTGAGTGAAATAAGTCAAGCAGAGAGAGTCAATTATCATATGGTTTCACTTACTTGTGGAGCATAAGGAATAACACAGAGGACATTGGGAGATGGGCATGTGAAGTGAGTTGGGGGAAATTGGAGGGTGAGACGAACCATGAGAGACTGTGGACTCTGAGAAACAAACTGAAGGTTTTGGAAGGGAGGCGGGTAGGGGGAAGGGTGAGCCTGGTAGTGGGTATTAAGGAGGGCACATATTGCATGGAGCACTGGGCGTGGTGATTAAACAATGAATTCTGGGACACTGAAAAGAAATTAAAAAAAAAAAAGAAAGTGCATTATTCTGAGGCAGATTTGTTTCTACCTATAGAAGAGAAGCTGGAATATAAGACAACTCAAGTCTAATTTTTTTCTCTAGACACAATTTGTTCCAAGAACTTATATGATGTATTCACCTTTAAGAAAGAGACACTGTTGTTTTGTCTCTTAAAAATTCTTCCATTAATTTTAAGAAGATCAAATGGTCTATCCAGAGCTAAAATATTCATCCTATGTATATTACAACATGTATTTCCATTTCAGTATTAAAGTAAGTTCCATTTCAGTATTAAAGTAAGTTCTCTATTTAAAAAAGAGAGAGAGAGAGAGAGAGAAGAAGAAGCTTGAAAGCTAAAAGTGCTTGTGTAGTATGGGAATTCTATTTTTGAGGTGAACACAACAAATGGCTATAAAATTTAGGAGCTAAGTCCCAGTGTTGGGTTTTGGGTAGGCGGAGAGCAGTAGGCGTGCAGGCAGTCACCTCAGGAACCCAGAGCAGCAATTCTGAGGAGCACAGGGGTGTCACCCTGAGGTCTCAGGTTATCCCAGATGACCCAGACGTCCACCCACCCACCCACCCCACCCAAAGGCAGTGGTGACACCCTGTTACTGCTGTGATTCTGATAACCAGGGGAAGCAGGATGTGCACTAAAGAAAACCCAGGGCCATTTCCACCAACTCCCATGGCTTCTAGTCCTTACCTGAGCTCCCACAGCACTGGGCCCTTTTCCTTCTCCAGGACCAACTAAACAAATCTAAGAAAGCAGAGATTAGAGCTCCTGGTATAGACCTAGTTGAAACTGATGGTGGCCATAAGGAGTTGCTGGGAAATGGAGAGAAACAGAAGAGCTTTCAGAAACTGGTGTGAGGAATGAGAGAAATTACTGTGAGTGCCCAGCTGACTGCTGGACAGCATGGAGGACACCTAGCAGGGCTAGGAGCCTGTGGTTTCCTGGTGGTGACCGCACACACCGAGGCTTGGCACAAGTGTCACCTATGGGCCGAGGCACAGTTCCTGAGGGAAGTCATGGGACTGATCCGGGTGGGGCTATGTTTGGGGAGAGAGAGAGCTCATATGTTGAGAGATGATTAGAGATGGAAAAATTGCATAACTCGATGCAGTTGAAGAACAGGTAGAGTGGGACTGAAATAATGAGAGAATGAGAAGCATGAAATAATGTGGCCACTGCCAGGGCAACTCCAGTTGTAGACTGGAGTGGAACAGTTCTGGGTGTTGATGAGTTTCAGGGTGGGGCTTGGGCATTTGTTACTGTAATGGCATAGGGAGAGAGGGTCAGGAGACTGTAAGGAGGGAAACTGAGCTCACAGCTGGCTGTTACAGGGACACTGAAGTCACCCTCAATGGTGGCAGAGCTTGGGGCAATAGGGAATGACATTCACAGAGGTCTGACCAAGACAGATTTAGCACAGATTCAGGGAGGAGAGTGGAGAAAAGTATCAGAGATGGCGGCTGGGTCTTCTCCATTCATTTTGTAAAGAAAATTTATACATTATTATTTTCCTCAGATATCTTCCTCAGTTCAAATACACTCCTTCATATTCAAATATGAGTAAAAAAACTGTTACACAACAAAATGTAGAAAATTTGGAGACGACCTATCTTTGTACTGCACTGACAACTGAAAGGCAAGTCATGCTTTTAATCAAAAGTAGTTTTTAGAATAGCTGTGTTTGTAAATGTTTGGGAGGGAAAACAATGGCAGCGTCTATTTTCCATGCTGGTGATTGGATCGCACCTTTCCTGTGCTGGGTGCATACACTGAGTCCCAGATTAAGGAATATGGAAATGTGCTATAAATAGTAACATGACAGACACATCAACTTCCAGGTTAAAAGGGTTAACAGTCCCTCAGGGAGTCCGCAGTACGTGTGGGAAAAGAGACACGAGATGTGGAGTTGAACATACAAGGCGGCCCTGGAAAGCTTGTGTAGGATTCTTTTGGAAAGATTAAAACACGAAGTGGCCTAGTGCTTCATACCTGGCAGGCTGCCGAAGGGCTTGGGCGCGGTGTAGGAGGGGACAAAGATCTGTGTGGGTGACAGACAGGAGACAATAATGGTTGGGTGGAGCACGGACAGCTGGCACAGACACAAGTGGAGATCAGCCAGAGATGTCACGGAAGCAGAGCTTTATGGTCGTCTGACGAGTGGAGAATTACAGGGAGCACAAACACGCCCTGAAAATCATGGCCACTGCAGCTGCTGAACTGCATTAACCAGCTTCCGGCTGTCACCGCGACAGTGGCTGTACGCATGCGCAGAGCATGCGACGAGCCCGGGAGCCTCTAGGGTACAGTCTGGGTCTCCCTGGTCTTTGCGTGAGCAGAAAGCCACGGTGAGTGAACTGAAAGCACGGAAACCACCCAGTAACATGGAAACTTCACCCGCTGACCTCACGTGAGCCAGACCCTGCCTTTGGACCAGCCTGAGCCGCTCCTCCGCCAGCAGCTGGCTGTATCCGCCATGTCCCCTACCAGGACACTCACGGCCGTAAATGATCCCATGGCGAAGTTACTGTTGGCAGGAGGGGTGAAAGGGCGTGGCTGAGAACAGAGGAGGTGAACTCAGCCCTGGGGATCCACAACGATCCCAGGAGACACAAAGCTCAGAGGAAAAGTGGCTAGACTTTTTCCTCTGCTGCCCACGGATGACCCTAAGTGGGCTGCCTGCTCCTCCCTCCCCATCACTGCCAGAGGACCTGGTCTCCTGTTTTGGAGCCTCTCAGTCTGGGGACCCTGAATATGGGGAGTGCTCAGCTCCAGTAAAGCTGTACTCTAGAAATAGGAGAGATGTTTCAAAGACGTCTGGGAACATAATTAGCAGCTATTAAAAAAAAAAAAAAATCACCACTGTATGCTCTGTAGAAAGACAAAAGCCTTTTGCAGATGATGGATTGAACTGGGGTCCAGAGTGGAAATAACCTGTGACAGGGGAGGCCACACTTACCTTATGAAAGTCAAACACTTTTTCTGCAAAAAGACCATTGGCGATGTGGAGTTCGTAATCCCTATGGGATGTGTTTATATCAGAGAGAACTCTTTTCAGTTGAGACTGAAGTCCCGGCTGTTATTAAAAAGATGCATAAAAATGTATTACAGGATTGCAAATATATCCACACTCTTATTTACACATAACATAAGATATGTATATTATACCATGAAAGAACTGAAAAATAATGATGTTTGTAAATTCAGCAACACCACCTCTATTTACAATTTCTTGCCCTTTCTCAAATAGTACCTGTGATCAAAGTTAATTACAAATTTTACTAAAATAGTTAACTTGAGTGCTCACTTCGGCAGCACATACAAAATAATTAACTTAAGAATAAAATTATTAACAGCAGATAATGAATTTGCCTTGCATGTATACTAAATAATTCATTTTACCAATATAAGTTGGCTGTGAATATCAAAGGGTAAAGCAAAACATTTATTTCCAAACTATCTTGCCAAAATCTGACCAAAACAGAAGTAAAATATTGGTAAGTTAATAATTAACACTGTCCTTGAGATGTCACAAGTTGGAAATCTGAGTGAGACACATTCCTTTGCTTTGAAGGATGGTAAGCATAATTAAATATATCAGTGCGATAGTGATTTCTCTAAAGTCAGTCTCACACTCTCTTTCCCTGAAAGAACACGTTGTCTTTACCTGAGCCTGAGAAGAGCTTCCCCATCCCGAGGCTGTGTTGAAGTGAAGCATCTGCAAACAGGGAGTAAGGAAATCAGTTAGCAGGTCCTGCTCGAGGGGAAGGGACCCCACAAAATAAAGGAAGGAAGGGACTCATTGTTAGTGGTTGTGTTTGCATGTGTGTTTCGTAGCAAAAAAATAGGTAGCAATTGACTTGGTTAGAACACAGATCATGACTGTGATCTACTGACAGAACACAGATCATGACTGTGATCTACTGACAGAACACAGATCATGACTGTGATCTACTGACAGAACACAGATCATGCATTGGGGAAAGCGCCCAGCAGCTGGCAGAGTGAATAAATCGATGGCTACAAAATGAATTGTGTCTACAAATCATTTTGGTTTGCTCACTCTCATGGAGCAATTTAACAATTACTCACTGATTAAACCTAGACAAGGATTTAAAAAGTATCAAATGAGAAATTTTATTTGCCCACATGGCAGGCAAGATTAAGGCTAATGATGCAGGCACGAAGATATAAAAGAGAGACAAAGGTACTGGATATCTAGGAAATCCTAAATGAAGCGAAATTGGGACTTGAGAGATGTGAAAACAAAATAAAACAAAAAAGATCCTACAATTATTTGAAATTAAGTAGTTTTAGGCTTTTCCTTTTCCAGTGTGGCTCTCATAATCCCATTATTCTACTAATTGCTATTCTGCCCAAGCTTTAATTTTCTATTGCACTTTATCTATTATCTATTATCTATTGCACTTTTAATTTCCCCAGGCCCTTATGTCCATGGGATCTGAAACACAAAACGGCTTCTCTACAAGGAAGTGATAAAGGGTGCTACGCAGTGATAATCATTTATGCAGCCATCTGGAGCAAAATGAATGCGCACTGACAGAGACAGGTAAGATTTTCTGTAAAGAGATGTAGTTTTCTTTAAGGCGTCATATGCAGGGGCGCCTGCGTGGCCCGGAAGGTTAAGAGTCTGCCTTTGGCTCGGGTTATGATCCCAGTGTCCTGGAATGGAGCCCCAGGTCAGGCTTCCTGCTCAGCATGGAGTCTGTTTCTCCCTCCCCCTCTGCCTGCCGCTCCCCCTGCTTGTGGTCTCTCTGTCTTTATCTCTCTCAAATGAATAAATAAAATCTTAAAAAAAGAGGGGAAGGTCATGTGTGCTATACTTGAACCATATCCCTGGTGGGAGGTAGAAGTACAGAGAAGAGGTAAAGGACCACTCTGACACTGGGTAAAGAAATTATGGATGGGAATCTAATTAAGTCAATGTTATTATTTGTGTGTCTGTGGAGGCATTCAGCTTCAAGACTTTGGACCCCTAATCAATAGCACCATCTTATTGGCTAGGGCGAAATGGAAGAGCTATGTAAGATAGATGAAAACGTATGAAGGCAATGAGTGTCATTATTAGTCTTAATAGGTCACAGAGAATTGGAACCTACCTTAATTTCTACATCCTCTTAATCTGAAATAATAATTAACATGAGATGGAGTAAGAGATAAGGCAAAGGCAACAAGGCAAATTTGATATACAAATTAGTAGTCAATTTAAAATTCACTGGTGGGGTATCTGCAGGCATGGAGGCACCATGCTTCATGCCCCAGATGTCATTCTGTCCCCCAGGTTCGATGCCACTGTGGAATATGAAACATATCAGGTTCCTTTCTCATTTTGCCTTGGCATTGGATAGACTGGTATTTGGGAATATATGGAGGTACCAGAAACATAAAATATCATGGGACAGTGTCAGGACTCAAAAATGCTAATGTCTTTTCTGAACTAATTTTTGTGGAACCAAGGAAATATTGTAAAAATTATATGAATCCCCAGAAGTCATTCTTGTTAACTTTTTGAAAAAAACTTTAACGAGTAAAAGTATTTAATATTATTCTTTGATCATTTATAATTTTACTCTATTTTTATAATAATCTAGTTGTCTCTTCTGACATTCCTAATTGGCTTTTAGTAAACTGGGCTGGTACAATATTGAGGTGATGCATATATTTTTTTTATATTTTCAAAAATTCTAAGATATTACAAATTCAACAATAAAACTACCACGACTAAAGGTGAATAGTGATACTAGTAAATATTCAAATGTAACAGGTATTAAATAAAATATCAAAGGGCATATTCATCACAATCCAAAATGCCGGCAGTCCTGTGCTCTCATATCCCCTGACTGACCCTATGAAGGAAAATCAGAATTTCTTTTTCTTGTTCATAACTGATAACATATTCAGATAATGGCAAATAAGGAAAATCATGGGCCGTCACAATTTAAGAAATTTTAGGATCTTCTGACTGAAGTTTAAAAAAAAAAAAAGATTATGAATTGTTGCATCCCAGTCGCCTTCCACCTGTGTATTCATGACAAATTATAAAACTATTATGTTTTCTCACAAAAGTGGTAGAATAAGTAACATATTAAAATTATTTTTTGAAATGTCGGTAAAACCCAATTATTTTAAAGAAAATTCTTATTTGGGTGCCTGGGTGGCTCAGTTGGTTAGGCAACTGCCTTCGGCTCAGGTCATGATCCGGGAGACCTGGGATAGAGTCCCGCACCGGGCTCCCAGCTCCGTGGGGAGTCTGCCGCTCCCTCTGACCTCTCCTCTAATGCTCTCTCTCAATCTGTGTCTCTCTCTCTCTCTCTCAAATAAATAAATAAAATCTTAAAAAAAAAGAAAATTCATATTTGTATACCTTCTAAATAACACTGTAATATAAAGACATGATTAAAGATAAAAAAAATTATGACATACTTTATCTCAATGAAATGTTATGTGAAAGAAAAGAGGAGAGTAGGTAGCTCAAAGAAAAAAAAATATGTTTGAAAAAGCACTATATTAGTGTGAGCAGAAGTGTTTCTGTCTGTTGCCAAACTCCTGTTTACTAGAAGGATCACCAAATCATTTTCTGTAAGCTATAAAACAAAATCCTTGAGGTCACTAATTTAGAAGGGAAGAAATAAAAGGTTTCTGGATCTTTATTTTGCTTGGTTTTGTTTTATATACAAGGGCCTGGTTTTTAAGCTGTGGAGTTGGGAGAGGTGGTTTGGATAAGAACTTTGAATACTTCCTTGTGGCTATCTGTTTCTGGCCAAGAAAACGTGGATATGCATTTCTTGGAAAACACATTACATCTTCAAACTAGGAGGATGCTCCTGCGAATACATGGGAGGTAATGCTCCATGGGTATGGGAAGCAGCCCTTCCCACTCACGAGCTGCCACGATGGGCCCCGAGGCTCTCGGAAGCAGAGGCACAGGACATCCTTACAGTGACAGTGGCATTCTCCCTCAAAGGACAAGGGGGCTTCAGTTGCACCAAATACAAGTATCCAGGAGTGAACATTGAAGGATGAATTGCTGCCTTCTTAATTAAGACAGTTATTAAGTACTAGATTCGGAAAACATCTGTTTATATAGAATAAGATGGAATGAGAGCCTAAAGTCAGTCTTGCTTATTTACCCCCTGAAATAACACAGCCCTATGGAGATAATCCCTGGGCAACAAAGGTCAAAAGAGAAAACTTAAGCAACTCAGGGCTGAGCTATGATTCCTTTAAAACAAAGAGAAGCAACACCACCACCACCACCACCAAATACCACTTTGGCCTAAAGGCCTTTGTAGCAAGCTGTGTTCCCACTCTTGCTTGAGCACCTTATCATTTTGATAAGGACCTTGTTCTCTTTTTACCAACTTATTACTTGAAATGATAATGTAGGCTATGTGCCTATGTTTGGTGTTTTAAGGCTGTGACATATTTTCCAAGTGTTTCAGTCCTGAAAAAATAAATAAGGTTTAGCTTTAAATAAAAAAATTAAAATAAAATAAAAAACATTATATTAAAATATATTTTATATATTTTATGTATTATGTATATAATAGGTAATATATATTATATACATATGTATATAAAATATATATATATTCTGTTTCACTGAGAGTGGGAGACCTGACCTATCTTGAGCCAAGAAAATTCAGAACAGGCCCAGAACATCGTGTTGTCAGTTAGCAAAGATTTAGAATCATCTGAAAGGATTGTTTAAAAATGACAAGTTTAAAGAGATTTCTATTGGCCCAACTCAGATGGCAACCATCTGAGCATTGAAAATAAGAATGAACACTGGTCCATGGCAAGGCTTAAGAGAGAAGGATGGATGATGCCATAAATTACAACTAAAGTGACCGAGCCTTCATTTCTTTAAAAATATACATACGTGACCCATAGTGTCAAGCGTCAGGTATTGCAAGGAGAAACTATCTGGGACAGAGTTTGGGGACTGGAGGGGGAGGCTTTACAATTAACTTCCAAGACAGTTTACTGCAGATGACTAAATTTTGTACCAATGAATTATATGAATGTTTCTGTGTCTACAGTTGCATTTTTCCCTTTTCCATGTTTCTTATAGGAGGTTACAATAGCAAGAGGTATAAAAAGTAACTCAGGAAAGGCACTGATTCCAGTGGTGACGGAAGAGCAGACCCCAGTAAGATAGGCTCTCTGAATCCACTGTGACCTACTTCCCATGAGCGGTTGACCCTTGTCCACCAGGCCGCTGGGCCACAAGGAGACCTTGGGAAATGAATCAGGCAATAGCCCAGGAATGTTCCTAACCCGAAATCATACAATAACAAGTAACTGTGTCTTCTGTTGTGTTAAAGGTGTGGGGTTTTGTCATAGGTGTGGAGCCTACACATCTTTGTCTAACATATGGAACAGGAACAAGTTCTGAGCTACTCATTAAGAAGATACCCCCAAATCAACCCCCATAGTTTATAGGTGAGGATACTGAGGCCCACATGGATGAACTAATTTTTCCAAATCAGAATTTGGATCTGATTTTCTTTTCCTTTTTTTTTTTTTTTTTTTTAGATATTATATATTTATTTGACACAGAGAGAGAGAGATCAAAAGTAGGGATAGAGGCAGAGAGAGAGGGGGTAAGCAGGCTCCCTGCTGAGCAGAGAGCCTAATGTAGGGCTCAATCCCAGGATCCTGAGATCATGACCTGAGCCAAAGTCAAAGGCCTAAACCACTGAGCCACCCAGGAACCCCTGGATCTGATTTTCTAACTCCCAGACCAGTGTTTTGTTTCCGTGACACCACGTTGCTTTACTTGGTTCTAAAACATTATGTACTTATACCAATGAATGAATACATTTTTATTGGTTACTAAGTTTTTTTTTCTCCAAAGGCTTTATATTTTATACTAACTTTAAAATAAATGAGGCTTTGCAATAATGTACTTTGGGCTGCATTTCAGTTTGGTGGCTTTAAGCCAAATAGTTCTCAACTGTGGGTTGACTCTGCTTCCTGGGGGATATCTGGCACTATCTGGGGACATTTTTGATTGTCATGACTGGACAGAGGTACAGTAATGGTATCCAGTGGGAAAAGGCCAGGGATACCACTAAACCTTCTACAATACACACCAAAGCCTCTTCATGACAAAGAATTATCTGGCTTAAAATGTTGGTGGGGCTGAGATTTAGAAACCCTGTTTTAGAAGATCACCCTGAGTTTGAATCATAGTGCTGACACTTACTAAGATGGCACAGGAACACAAAAATCAGGGTAATAGTGCCTACTCCAGAGCTATTGGGAACAGCCAATAAGATACCCTTAGAGCTTATCCCAGAGCTGTACACTGATGAAACTTCCAACAGTTAGCTGTTATCATCTCATTAAAAGTGTTCAATGCACTGTGGTTGTGAATCACTCCAGCTCTTGGGAAAATGGTGTCCTGAGACTCTGGTTATTCCTTAGCAATAAATATTCACTGAGCTACCCAGAATGAGAAATGAATTGTCCTAGCTTAGATTATCTGAGCAAACAATCTTCAACAACTGCTTAGTTGTGATGCGTTGCAACACAGACAATCTTCCTCTAGCTCTCATTTATAAACTAAAATAATGGGGGGAACCAGGAGGCAGAAAGGGATAACAAAGACCTCCACAGGCAGCCTGGGATCTCACCTGCTACTGAGCTACTACAGTTCTGTGACTGTGTCACTTCCTTGCACAGCCTGGCTCAGGGTAGTATACAAGGGTGAGTTAAAAAGCACTTTCTACACGTGTTGGTGACAATGTGATAACCATTCAGGTAGGTTACTATTATCTGGAATATACTATTATGTCATTGGTGCCCATGTCACTTGTGTTTAAAGTGGGACTTCAGGGGCACCTGGGTGGCTCTGTCGTTAAGCATCTGCCTTGGGCTCAGGTCATGATCCCAGGGTCCTGGGATCGAGCCCTTTGGCAGGAAGCCTGCTTCTCCCTCTCCCACTCCCTCTGCTTGGGTTCCCTCTCTTGCTGTGTCTCTCTCTGTCAAATAAATAAACAAAATCTTTAAAAAATAAATAAATAAAAATAAAGTGGGACTTCACTAGTATCTTCCTGTTGCCCTCCTTTCTCATCTACATCTACTCAGGCAGTGGTTCCCAAGCTTTAGTGCACACCTGGAGAGTTTAATAAACCACAGATTGCTGGGTTCCATCCCCATGGTTTCTGATTCAGTAAGTCTCAGGTGGGGCCCAACCATTCGCATTTCTAACAAGTTCTCCAGGTGATGCTAATGCTACCGGTCTAGGAAACACATTTTGAGAAGCACTGTACTAAAGAAAAGCATCAAAGCAGTGGTTCTGAGGATATTCAGGTTGTCTCCCATCTCAAAAACAAGTGCTACAAGCAGTATGGGTTCTTCACACCCAGAGAGGGACTCACTGAGATATCTTCATTTACATGGTACCATTGCAGTAGAATGTGCTCTTATAGGAAACAATTTGCCCTAACTGATGAATCACAGAAACCATGGGTGGTGGCACAACTGAGACTGACCTTATCAATCTGAGAGACACAGTCACCTCGTGCACCCAAACGGACCAGGGCCAGGGCAGTGAAGATGCTCAGAGAAGAGAAGAACACATTTTCACTTCCTTGATTGTTATCCATCTCTCTGAACAGATTGAAACAAAACTCTGCATTTGCAGCAGCAAGGGAGGCCATTGTGGAATGGAGCGCTGCCTAGAGGACAAAGAGAAATGGAATGAGTGCCAAGTACGTTTTGGGGGCATATGATGATTTCTCTAGTCATTGATTTTTGTATTTGAAGCTTCATTTCTTCAATCTTGGCTAAAACCATCAAATAACTTAGAACAAAAAGAAAAATTTCCTTTGGTCCTGTATCCTTGTTAACAACACTCTAAAACTCTGTTCTGCCAACAACGTCACGATACGCTCACTTTTTTTACGCTGATATTCTTTGGTGCAGCCTTTCTGTGTTTCTGCCTATGCTCTCACACTCATATTCCCACTTCTCCTTGACGTGACTTTGCTATCATCAGTGGCCTCTGAGTTGTTTTCAACCCCTAAGCAGACACATTTCCAACGTCTACCATTCCTCAAATCACCCCCGTTTTCTAAGCTGAAACAGAGCAAAAGAGCTCTTTGCAGTAAAACAAAGAGTACAGCATTAAATGGTCTCTTAAAGGGACTACAGTCCGTGCCTTTCCAATCTGTAATTTTAAAAAACATTAACATTTAGAGATTTAACACATAATTTCCTTACTCCTTCTCTCTAGAAGAGCCACCATACATGTGTTTAATCATACATCCTAACTCTTCTCAGGACTGTCCTAATTTCAAACATTATGCATCCTTGATCCTGTATTTATTATTTTCACACCACTTTCTAAGTTTTTTGGAATGGAAAGTGTGATTAACCATATTATGTATCACAAACATGCACATGACTTTCCAACACAAAGATCTATCTCTTACTGGAGAACCTGAGGTATAATAGCAAATGTAGAATCCAGGATGAAAATGAGATTGTCTTCAAATTCTTGATAATGTTGTTTCTGAAATATAGAGGGCTACCACTACTGCATGGCATTTTTCAGGAGTCTACTTTGGTATTTCTTTGCAGAATTTTTCCACAATACTAAAATGATTCTAGTACCACAGTTGGAGTTGTCAGAGACTAAATGAATTCCCATGGGTCCTCCAAATTATTCTCCTTGAATACTCTGTGACATTATGCCTAATGTGTGGTGGGTTCCAAGATTCACAGACGCTTAAGAGACCTAGTCTTAAACCCAAACTTGTTGCTAAAAGTTGTATGATCTGGGTTAAGTCTTAACTTCTCTAAGCTCCTAAATTACCTCTTATTCAATAATATGATCAATTTACAAGACAAAAAAAAAAAATGTCTGCTTCCGCCCTACAGCTGTTAAAGGACGGCATGATGTCCAAGCTCTGGGGAGCAGGATGAGGGCATGGTACAGAAAAAGAAGAATGCCAAAAGAAGAGGGATATGTGTGGTTTGAAAAAATAATATCCTACAACTGCTATGGTATTGATTTTGTCGAAGTCACAAAAACTTAATTCCTTTCAAAGTTACAAATGTCATTAAAATAAGTTTTCGATTTATATTTTATCAAATGGAAGCTTGAGTTTAAACAAAAATGAAAAACAATCTAGCATAATGCCTGATTCATTGTAAACAGTGAATTGAAGCTGCCCCCATATTCATTATTCTTCATTAAATGGTAATAAATTTGCTCTTCCTAAAAGACCACAAATTGGACATTTCCAGAGTATGCCTGAGGAAACTGTATTCTGCACTTTGGAATTCCAACCCCTGAGAACATCACTGAGGCACAAGGCCATAAATGATGCTGTTTTGCAAGGTCAAATTCAGCTACTTTTAAGTCATTACAGGTCCCACTCCTCAGTTATGCCCCCAGAAATAAAGGGTGAAAATATAATTCACACCCCAAATACTCTTCACTCCAAGAAAGAACATCTATGTTTTTTTAATGGTTATCCATAAAATTTAATGATTTCATATCAAATCCATGTAAACTAAGGGGACGTGTAGTGGCAGCTTTGATTGGAAGGAGAAACCCCTTCTTGTAAGGGCAAGAAGGAAACAGAGCAAGGAGAGGACACAGGATGAGAGATACAGGACAGTTTTAGCCAGTGAGTGATATCGGCAGGAACTAAGGTCCCCAAACTTTCCAGGGGCTCAAAATCACATTCTACATTGGAAAAGTTTTTTTTTTAATTTTTAAAAATGACAAAATTGAAATTAGTGTATATATAAGTAAATATATTTATATTGAAGCATATACTTAAATTGGAACTTAAATTGAAACATATTGATTTTTTATATTAAATTTTGTACTTATAAGAAGTTCCTTAATTTTAAAGTGAAATTGTGTGCTAGATTCTGTCTCTTCAGTTTCCAAGACTTCATATTGATTGCTGAAAAGCATAATAAATGAAATTAATCACTCTTAGAAAACTTTAAAAGCAAAATTATAGTAATCATTTCCAAATATGTATAGTGAAAATTATACTTAATAGAGGATTGTGGAATTATTTTAATATATTCTATATTATTTATTTGATATATTTGATGTAATATATTCAATATATATTGAAACTTTAAGATCTGCAATATTTAAAAATGACCCTGTTTGGGGACCTGCCTGTGTGGGACAGTGGAGAGTGGAAGTTACTTGGTTAGTATCATATCCCAAAGTACAAAATTTCAATGCACTTTTATTTGGTCAAACCCCAGTTCTGTTTGATGCTTTACGAAAGTATGTCTTACTGGGGCACCTGGGTGACACAGTGGGTTAAATGTCCTGATCTTGGTTTCAACTCAGTTAGTGATCTTAGGGTGATGGGATCAAGCCCTGCACAGAGTCCTATGCTCAGCATGGAGTCTGCTTGGGACTCCCTCTTCCTCTGCCCCTCCCAGTCCACATACTCTCAAATAATTAAATAAATCTTAATTTTTTTTTATTTTTAAAGATTTTTTTTATTTATTTATTTATTTATTTATTTATTTATTTATTTACTTGAGAGCGAGAGAACACAAGCAGGGGGAGCAGCAGAGGGAGAAGCAGGCTCCCCACTGAGCAGAGAGCCAGATGCAGGACTTGATTCCAGGACCCTGGGATCATGACCTAAGACGAAGGCAGACGCTTAACAGATTGAGCCACCCAGGAGCCCCAATCTCTAAAAAATTTTTTAAAATAAAAAAGCATATCATACTATTTTACCCCTAGGCAAGGTGGGGGGCCTTTCATGTCTTTTAAAACCTTTTCTTAAATCATGTTTTAAGCAATAATTACAAATGTTCATTTTCTAATTTCTTAATCATCCTGATGACTTTTCACAAAACTATCATTGTACTGGAGAGAAGAGAAGGTACACAGGAATTTGTTCATTGAGGCAACTGAGTACACATTTTTACAAGTTAGATAAATTTTATGGAAGAGACACATAAACATAAAAAAAAATGAGCTGAGACTTTCCTAGACCAATATAAATTCTCAAGCAATGACTTTTAAAATGATAAATGGTACTAGATCATATATCTTTAAACATTCCTGTACAGAAGTGTTTATGCACTTTGAAAATAAATACCAAATAGTATGTTCCACTTCACATAATTGTTTTTATCTTTCTCTCTGCAGGTGCACTGCAGTTTCTAGAAATGAAAGCAAGATTCTTTCCTTCTCTTTTGATATAAAGTTTAAATCACACTGGCAAATAGATAAACAATATTTAAGGGTGAGTTACTTTTTTATGCTCCCAAGCTTCTATCAGGTGACAGATGAATAAATATTAGCATTAGTACCAAAACTGTGGTTTTCCTTTCTCCTATAATTACTTTTTATCCCAACTTTAAAGAAAATAATAAACCAGCACCAAGAGAAATAAATTAAGTTCAAATAAGCCATTCAAAAGTATCCAGTGATTTGGGTCCCAGTTAAATAACTACAGGAAATGGAAAAGGAAAATAAATTACTTTAAGCCACAGAAGGTATCAGTATGATACGACCCAGCACCCAGGATGCCTTTGTCCAGACATAGCAATGCAGAAATATGCTTTCCAAATCCGGAAAGAACTTGGCTTTAAATTAATTTTTCATCCCACTAAAAAAACACTGCATTCTTACATTCTTTACACAAATATTTTAGTTTATTATACAGATATGTAATTTATCATTTTCAAGTTAACACAAATTAACAAAGATTCCTAAAGCTTTTTAAATCCCAAGCGTCGGGCGCCTGGGTGGCTCAGTGGGTTAAAGCCTCTGCCTTCGGCTCAGGTCATGATCTCAGGGTCCTGGGATCGAGGCCCGCATCGGGCTCTCTGCTCAGCGGGGAGCCTGCTTCCTCCTCTCTCTGCCTACTTGTGATCTCTCTCTCTCTCTCTCTCTCTCTGTCAAATAAATAAATAAAAAAAAAAAAATCATAAATCCCAAGCGTCTACCTTGAGGGACTAAAACTCCACAGGAACTCAAAGCATATTTGTTTACTTATGGTATATTTTAATCCAAGAAAATTCTTACCCCTTCCTTCTTATTGTCAGAATTTTTTATGTCAAAACAAAAAAATACATGTTGTCACTTAAGTTTTTTTTGAAGTCTAATAAAAGGCAAGAAAAATAATTTTTACATAAAGCACAGGAAAAACTAGGGACAAAGCATAATAAAAAAAACACAAAATTATAATGACATTTTATGGACCTAAACGTACTATACCTGATTGATAAGTTATGTGTCTTAAATCTTTGATAAAAATATTACCGAATCTCAGGATAATTTTGTCTGTACAAGGAAAAGTAGCTCTATTTCATGGTACATTACTGAAGAAAAAAAAAAAAAACCTTATATTTAAAATTAAATACATATTGGGGAAAAAATGAGTAACTACTATCGAGCATGCTTAATTTTTATTCTTACCATAGAAGTCAATTGTAATGCTATCAATAGTTACTCCTCTACAGAAGTATTTTCAAATCTTTCCATTTCTCTTAAAATCTGGTTTCAAATTTTGGTAAATCCCTAAGCAGACAAACACCATGCTATGTGATTTTTTTTAAGTTCAATTCTAATCTCAAAGCTGAGTTTTTCCCATGCTATGTTTAAAAATTGTAACTTATAATGCCTAAAATAAGAACACTGGGAATATAGAATCTAGATTTGTACATAATTCCCCAGATGCTATTTATCTATTCCAGAATGGAATATGAGGTTCAGCTCATCTGATCCCCTGCATGGCCTTCCCCCCATGACACCACAGAAAGTCAGCCATCAGACCACCCTAAGAGGAGCCCTAAGATAGAGAAAGCTGAGGGCAGGACTAGGCAATGATTCTGATATTGAATGATGAGTTCAAACCCTCAGGTACAAACAGCCATTGTTTTCTCTCTCTCCTCTCTCTCACCCTCTTTGTCTCTCTCTCATTCAAAGTGTCTGGCCAGACTTTAAGTTGTGGGCTTCAGAAATATTTACCTTACTCTCTTCATAGAGGAAGTTAGCAGCTGGTTGGGTGAGTCTGAAAGAGTTCCTTGCATTACTCTGAAATATAAAGCCTCTGACTCAGACACTCCCTACTTCCTTTTGTGATGACCATGGAAGTTTTAAATAATGGCATCAAAATATAATTATGTTAAGGCCCTTTATAAATCAGATTAAGAGAAATGTGTAGCATATGTGCTACAGATCTAATTCAAAGTGGTCAAAGTAGCAATGTTTTAATAAGTATAATAATGTATATATTATATATAAGTATAATTTAGTATGAAATTTTATTTAATTTGATATTAACATCACATAGTATTTTTATGTAGTATATGCAAATATTCATATATTGTGCTACACTGGTATTTTTCTATAGGGAAAGGTGTGTTTTTCAACCAGTGATTTTTGTTACTGCTATTGTTGGATTCCACCTCCTCTTTGGATTTTGGTGTCTAACAATACTGCAGAGCCCCACATAGAAGGGCATCAGTGGCCCCCTAGAGAAGCGAGAGGGCAAAGAGCTGGGGGACAGAGTGACAGCAAGCTCCGCTCTGGCTCAGAGACAGGATTTCTGTATTTGAGGACAGCAGGTGAGCTCACTCTTTCACAGCTCCTTTGGTTTTCCTTGATACAGTGTTTCTGACTTTACCTTATCATTATTCCTACAAGCGTTTGCCCACCCTGCCTTAATTTTAATTGCATGTTTTAATACTAGAAGTTTTAATACTGGAAGATTGTTTAAAGTTCTCTAAGATGAATATCCTATCAGGATAGATGTGTTTGAATATATTAAACACGTGGGGAGAGACCTACCTTCACCAGAAGATGGATAAGCTAGTGATCAGAACACTGAAAACTAAACCAAAAAAAATTAGGAAAAAAATATAATTATTAACTCAAGGGAAAACAAAGATTACACAGTGAAAGGTATAGCCTACTACACTTTATAGTTCAGCTGAGGGTAATAGTCTCTTAGTTGTAATGATTTAAATATTAAGTACTGAGCTAAACAAGACTCATGATGTATCTCTGTAAGGATGCCAGGAGGAAACTATGGGTAGGGGTCAGGTGGGGAGTATGGTATCCAAGAGACAAATCTTCCTTCCATGAAAGGAAGTCTTTAGTATAAGCCTTTTTAAAGGTAAAATGCAAAAAATAGCAGCATTAGCATGGTATTTAGATATCTGGAGGAAGATACAAGCCAGCATTAAAAGCACTTGAGATTGGAGATAAGTATACACCTATGAAATCACCACCATAGTCAATCATACTTCAATTAAGTGGTTTTAAAAACAAAAGCATTGAGAGTTGTTTTTCCTGTTATGTGAGAAGCAGGGTAGGAGGGGGAGGGAAGAGGGCACTGCTGGTCTACTTGATCAGCTCTGTGGTCTCATTTTGACTCCTCACTGCTTAGATCATATCTAAACTTGCAATGGATGAAGAATAAAATACTAGATCTAGGGTTAAGATCCAGCTTGGCACCTCTACTAGCCGTATGACCTTGAGCCAATAACTTAGTTTCTCTGAGCTCCCATTTTTCTATCCATAATATCAGAATTCAGATCAATTCTATTTTTATTTAAAGACATATGAATATATGTGTATATCTATAGGTACTATATACTACACCACAGGTACTATGTATATATACCACAATAGTGTTTGGTGCAGGAGAGGCCCTCAATAATTTTAATCCCCCTCCATGCTCACTCAGTCCTGGCTGTATTATATTACATGTGATTACATACAACATAGGAAGTGGGTTCACCTCAACTGTTTGTATATACCATTTTACCTTCGAGAATCTGGAGTTTTACTGCTATTATCTCTCTTGTGTCATAGTTCCATCCTCCTGAAAATAATACAATGATAAATAATACATGGAGATTTTCATCATGGGAGGAATGGAGAGGGCTCTGAGGAAAAATAGGCAGTTGGCAGTGCAGGCTCAGAGTTAAGAAGTGGGGAAGGGACATGCTGGCATGGAGGTTGAGGTCTGAACAAAGAACCGGGGTGCTCAATTGGTTCCAATTTGCCTGAGATGTTCTTGGTTTTAGTGCTGAAAGTCCCACCTCCCGGGACACCCTCAGTCCTGGTGGGACACACACTGGGGCACATTTTCCCCTTCAGCCACAGTTCCCAGACCACCGCTTATCTAGCACATCCCAGAACCCCACCAGGTCATGCTCATTCAATTCAAACTATCTTGAGACTTAGGAGATAGAACGCCGACACCCAAAACGTCCTCATCTGCTCACTGATGCCTGAAATCGCTGCAACCGGACAAATGCCGGCCTAAACCACAGTCAGAAGAGAAGCACAAAAGAAAACACACATTGTGATTTCCTTTATGAGAAGTCAGGCCAAGCAAAATTGTGTTTTTAAGGATGCTTATGTAGGTGGGCAGACTGTGTTAAGGAATGATTGCCTTTACTTGGCTCCTCTTACCTCTTCGGGGGAGGGAAGTTTTTTTGGTAAAAGGATGAGGAGGGAGGCTTCAGAGATATTGGCAATGTTCTATTTGTTAAATTCTATACATATATTTTATGTGTCCAATTTATATTTCATAATTTTAAAAAGTCAATCAAAACATATAAGGAAATAAATACCTCAGAAATAGGATGTAACCAATAACAGATCTGCTCCTGAGGGCAGATTTTGATGAGGGGAGGGGCAACCTGAACTGAAGATAAACGGAGTGGCAGTGAGGTGAAGAAGGATGCCAAGTAAGACTGGAGCTCAGACAGACACGGTGCAGGATGGGAGACCAGAGGTCCCAGTGTTCCCTCCAGCAACCCCCAAACCCAAAAATCGCTCCAGAGATTTCACACCTCTGCATGTAATCGGCCATTTTTGACATCTTTCTTGAGATTCACCAGGGAGCATACCTCTCACCTATACCTGCAGAAACAGGAGCAGCCTTTTGAATATGCAGATCAAGATTGCATTCACACCAGCCTCCTGGCACACACACACAGTGATGAAACTCTGATCTCCTTTCTCAAACTGATGCATTCTCACTCACAAAGAAAGTGTTTTCATACCACTCTGGACCGTTCAGCCTTAACGTGTTTTCCCAAGGCACTTTGGAAGGGGACAAAGAAGAGGGGAGCTGAAAGCCTGATTTACCACTATCTAATAAAAAGAAATAAGCATTTCTAAGCTGAGTATTTTCCTAAAAACCTTAGAATTAGTTTTTAAAGGCTGTCCGTAGGTGCCGTCTACACCCTCCCTGCCCCACCAACTGCTTATTGGTGTGTAGACTTAGCTTCTGGGATGGATTCCCTATGACTCACAGTAAGCACAGTCCCTAAAGAAGTTAATAAGCATTAAGCCTTTGCACCAAGTTTCAAAATAGTATCTAAGGCAGTCATTACGGGGTTCTCTCAGTTTGGATGTGAATGAGATTTAAAGGGGAAATTGGCCCATCTCTCTTCTTTACAGTGCCAATGGTTTTAATGTAAGTATACACAAAATTTCAGGATCTACAGCATTTATTAGCCTGTCTCAAAACATACCCTCTGCTTGTGAGAGGGATCATCAGTAAACTAAAGCAAGACATCGGGGACTTCTGTGAATTTTGTATGAAATTTTATAGCAACTTGTCATTGCTCTCTTGTGGTCTAATTCCTTTCAACCTTACGCTGTGTAGATAAGCTTAGCATAAGAACCTAAAATAGAAATTAACATAGTATCTTCATCATTCCTCAAACTTTGATGTTCATCTGGACCTCAAACTATTTTAACTGGCTTCTTTTTGTGCTATCCTCCATCCTTCTCCTACTTCCTCTTCATCCCAGTTTTTTCTGGCCTGGAATTTTCCAGAAACATATCTGTTGGGTTTGTAATCTCAACTGGCTTCTCTAGATGCTTACCTTAACTGAGCAGCTTCAGAGAGAAGCTGAAACTTGGGATGTTAATTCATTCTTGTCACCTGGCCAGATTCCTCTCCACCCTTCTGATCTGGCAATGAATGGAAAGCCACATCTGCAACATCTAGATCCTCCCTGCTATGATACAGGCTACAGTTCATGGAAATGGGTTTGTCCCTTGATAAGTGGCCATGTGTAGGCAAAGGTAGGTTTGCCATTGGAATATACCACACAGGGCAACCCTATCAGGTCCCCTTCCCTCCTCGGGAGCTTTGCACTGTCACTTTGCTCTCGCTCAATAAAAAGAACATCCCGTACAGAGGCATCCATTTCAGTCCCAGTGCTAGCATCACATGGTTGAACTCTGTGCCCCCGGCATCTGCTGTGCACAGAAGGAACTGCAAGCTGGTTCTTTCGGCTGAATGTTTTCTAGTATACAGCCAATGCTTACCCAAATGACTGAGTCTTCTACTGTAATAAGCTACTGGAATCTGAAGGGACCACAAGCTTATAGTGGCTTATCAATTTTATCTAGTTTTGTTTCTTGCCAAGGAAGAAAGGGAGCCTAGCTTATCCGAAATCAAATAGTTTTTGTTCACTTCCATGATGGTTTATGATAATATAATAATAGAGAAAAATAAAGTCACAAAAAAATCCTTGAAACTTATTTTGATTTAGTAGTTTCAATAAATCTTCTGGTGAAGGGTGTTGTTAATACTGAAAACGGGATTACAAATGGATTTCCTATTCTCTGTGTCCTGACTGCATGGAGCTGAAATATGTTTACTTCCATATTCTATCACCCACCTACTGTAGGCATCAAGTACTTTCAAGTGGCAAAACAACCAGTAGGTAAAAGGTAAGCAATCCAAGTGACACATAAACTGGATAATCCTCCTGGAATTGCCAAGAGTCAACCATAATTAAAGTTCTTCTCACCAATGTTTTCTTCTCCACTTTAACTCAGACAACCCTACTACTACTGTGTTTGCAACAGTTTATGTAGAACTAACCAATCTTCAAGTGACAGAAGTCTGAAAAGGAAGCTCAGCCATGGGAACTGGTATATCATATCAATTCTTTTCTCTTGCCATACAATGGTAACCCAAATTTCCATAGACTTACCAGTTCATGAGTAGAGATGAGATCACATGAATTATAATAACCTAAACT